CTATTTCAGATCATGCAATCTTACAAAAATTCTGGAAATCAGATATTTGGTCAAATGCATATGCTTTTAATATTATATTGCATTGCTCAAATAAAATTTGAAGAATGGTTTACATTTTTTATTTCTAGAGTATAAAACATTTTCTTTCTAGAATGATCTGAAGAGATACTACTTATGAATATATTTTATATTTATTTGATTAAAATTATAGTTCAATGAGTAAGTAGAATTGGAATTACGAGTGTAACTTGTGGGTCACTTATGACGTTAGGTTCTCTGTTGTCTGTTGTTGGTTTTAAGTGAACAGGGCTGCGGGAAATCTCATGTATCACGTGAGCTGTGAAAATATGGAGTGCCATATGTATTTTTTGATAATAAACAATCTGTATATTATTTCCTGCTCCAATGTAATTGTTGCAGAATTCAAATTTTTATCATAATATCAGTTTCTGAAATTTTATAAACTTGTCCAAGGCCCACATGACGTTCTCAACAAGACAGAATATCAGTGGAAATGAACAGTCATATTTTCCCCACTGATTCCTTAACTGTGAATGTCGCCTCTTTTATAATTTTCCCAGTAATAGTTTTTCCAAGGACATCATTACAACCCAATTGATGTGTATTGAACTGTGTACGTGCTTTTTGAATTTAAAAAAGTATTTTATGTTGTAGGGGCCTCCATTGTTGAATCTGAAACCTCGGAAAGTTACATAAATAATAAGACAAAACTGTACTGGCATGGGATAGGGTTCCTAAATCATGAAATGCCTCCAGATATTATTCTTCAGGTAAAAAAATGAAATTAACCCATTTCTCTTTAAGGATTTCATCATTACCTTCCAGAAAAATTAATGTTTAAAATGCAGGTATAGGAGAACATCCAAATCTGAAGTAATCTTATATTTTTATAGTCATTACACCATGTGGGTTATTTCTTATTTGATGGTCAGTAAACTGTGATTGGCTAATTTATCATTACTTATTATTTAAAGATCTAGTTATTTCTCAGAACATATATGTTCCCCATCTTTCATTTACATTGCATCTATGCCTTCCCTTTTAGATTGAAAATTTCAGTCATTCAACAAACATTGCAAGTGCTTCTTCTTTAAGGGCCAGTACTATGTTAAGTGCTACTCAGGCTGTATGGTCTCATTAAGTCCAACTGTAACAAGTACAATTTCCAGATAAGATTTCAACAGAACCTTTCAGTTCAGTGCCAAAGGAAGTGGACAGCACAATAGTAGAACACTTCTTGACTAAAGTCAGTACATTTGAATCTGGTTTCAAGTTTAGAAGTAGCTTCAGGGACAAACCCACACTCTTATATCAGGTTGTACTTGTAGGTTAGATACAGAAAATGATAAGGCTCTCCTTTCCTCCTTCATCATTGTCATCTCCTGCACCACAACTGTCATACTGCCATCTCCAGCAACAACTGCCATTACCACCACATGGTTATCTCCACCATGGCCACCATGGCCTCGGTCATCAGCACCACCAGTACCACCAACCACCATCATGACAACCATCCCATCACCTCCTCCACCGTCACTTCCACTGAGACCATGATCACCGCCATCACCACCACCACCACCGTCACGGTCTCCACCAGCACCGACAGCCTCACCACTGTGCATATCCTCTAGCTGCATCTAGCAGCTCATGGTCCACTTAGTGATATGAAGGAAAGCAATGCTCACAGGATAAAGGTGTTCCAATTACAGAAGCACAACCAAAGCTAGGGGTATCACAGGCACTTCCTATTTGATAATGTTTCCTGAATACTGCCTGTATCCTGCAGGCATCAGAGAGATTAGCTGTCCAATGTTCTAGCCATGGATTTGCAAAACCGTGCGAGAGATTAATTCAGTCTTTTCTTTCCAGCCAGATGTCCACCCTGGAAAGTGCTGGGCCTTTCCGGGTTCCCAGGGTCACATCCTAATCAGGCTTGCCCGGAAGATCATCCCAATGTCTGTCACCATGGAGCACATCTCAGAGAAAGTGTCACCATCAGGAAACACCTCCAGTGCACCCAAGGAGTTTTCTGTCCATGTGAGACACTGTCTGAACCCATCACTCAGAGTGGGTGGGGACCGAAGGTGTTGGTCGGCATTAGGAGCTGGACCCTCCCAATTCTGCATTGTGTGCCTGCTTAGTTGAGTGACTTGCTTCCTGGGCTTTTGCTTTGTGATCTACAAAGTGAGAGGGTTGGACAGGAGGGTTTCAAGCCCTAAATTTCATTGTTTAATCAGAATTTTACACATACAGCAGAAATGTTAAAAATTTCCATAAAGTTCAAAATGGAACAGTGGTGCCTCGTCTCCTGTCTCTCCCCAGTTATCCCAACAGTTCCACCTGAGACAATTTTAGCTGCATATTTTGATATTTGCCTCCATTTTTGCTTCTACCATTATTTCTTCATTTCTCAGTGGTGACGTCCCCCAATAGAGATGAAGATGAGTTCCTTTCCATGGTTACCCCATGTTCCTAATATCTTTATATATTTTTCAAAACTCAGGCTTATGGAGACAATTAACCTAGCATTCCCTCACCCACTTAAAGTGCACTGTTCAGTGGCTTTGTGTATTTATCACCACAGTTGATTTTAGAACATTTAACATGTAGCACAAAAAGAAACCTCCAACCCCCTTAGCTGTCTCTCTCATTCACCCACTGCACCCTAGCCCCTGGCAACCCCTAGTCTACTTTGTCTCCATAAGCATTACCCACGGGCCAGAGATGTAGCTCAATGGCACAGCACCTGCTTGGCAAACGTGAGGTCCTAAGTTCAATTCCTGCTACAAAAAAATTACCCACTCTAGACATTTTATATAAGTGAAATCGTCTTGTGTGACTTTTCTTGAATGGATGGATCCTTTCAGTTAGTGTCACATTTCCCAAATTCACTCATATTGGACCAAGCATTAATATTTGATTTTGTTTCCAGTTGTTTTCTATTATGAATAGATTATGTTTATACATTTGTGTACAATTTTGTCTAGGCTTATTTGTGTAGAGTACGTGTGTGGTTATTTCCAGCTTTTGTCTATTATGAATAATGCTGCTATGAACATTTGCCTACAGGTTTTTGTGTGGACTTTGGTGTTTGTTTCCTGAAGTACATACCTAAGATCAGTCTTGATGGACCTCATGCTAAATCTGTGTGTAATACGTCTGAGGACCTAGGAGCTTTATCTTCTTTTTGTTTCAGTCACACTCAGTGTTTTTATGGTGACTATGTGAACAGTATTTTTCCTAGTTGAGCCACAGGGTGTACTTGAATACTATTTTTTTGCATAATTTTTGATGTTTCGGAAGATAACTGCTTTATTTTTATTAAATTTGCTCAGTTTTACTCTATTTCTCACATTAAAACATTCCCAGTATTTTCATCAAAAGTGTAAATATTCTCATCTATCTTCTCTATTATCTATCTTTCTGGTACCTTCCTAGCACCTAGCTATTACCTCTCTCTGTGGCGTCCAGCTACCTACCTAGTTATCCAGCTAGCTAGCTATCATCTGTCTCCTTAGCCCTGTGACCAGTCCTCAGTTTCACTAACCCCCAAAGTCTGAGTCCTTGGGGTACACTAGACAGTTCTGGCTCTAGCCCAGCCTGCTCCAGGTGGGCACACAGAGTGTTGGGTGAATCACAACTACATTCATTTTTTATTATTGTGTTTATTGGTACAGTTTAGATACACATATTGATCACATTCAACATAGGGAATTTGCATCTATACATGATATATCTTGGCACCTCTTTTTCTTCCCATTCCCCTCCCTTCAACATCCTTTATTTTAACTGAAAACTTACTCATTGCTTACCTGTTGGTCGCTTTACAGGGCCTTTTGAAAAGATGTGAAGGAGAAGAAATTTTCCTGGGTCGGTTCATCTATAACAAAACAGAAGCCACCGTCCAGACGTTTGACCTACAGGTAATGAGTGCCTCGTGGCATGGTCAGATGTGATCGGCTCCATGCTGGGGTGATTTAAACCATGTGAGGATGTGTGTAGATTCTATGCAAACACTACTCCATACTGTACTGAGCATCTAAGGATTTGGGATACCAAGGGATGAGCACAAGTGTTAGAAATGAACGTATCGTTAGAGTTTCACATTTAATTGCCTCTTCGTATGCACTTGGACTCATCCACTTGGATATACAGTTGGCTTCATAGATGTGCTCTTGGTAGCACAGTAGGGAATGCTGAGCAGAGAGTGGATTCTGGGTACCTGGATCACCACATTGTCTCTCCCCACTGCCATATTTCCTGTAGTGCATTCTCTCATCCTCTAGATGGGTATCTGAAAAGGCTTGCATTAGAGGAAGTTATAAAGAAAGGGTTTTAACTTTCTACTATATCCACATTCACTATTCAGAATTCTTTGAGATGGATTTCATTATAAGTTATTTCTTTTCTTCATTTTCAGCGTGAAATTTCTGAATCCTTATTATGTGTGAGACTGAAAATCCTTAGCAACTGGGGACACCCACACTATACCTGTTTGTACCGGTTCAGGGTTCACGGCATCCCCAGCGATCACACCTAGAGGAGCTGGGGCCAAAGACAGTGACCACACGTCCAGCACTTTGTAAGATTTGTAAGATTCTTAGTCGCTAGATTACACCCCACCCTTAGGAATCAAAAATGGGGAGAGGGGAGAAACCTCAAGTGGTTCCTATTTGCCAGTAAAAAGTAATGAATTTTACTAATAAAAATATGAAAGTAAATTCGGCCTTCTTGCAGTTTGCCTTTTAAGGATGCAATCCGGCAGTTAAAACACAGAGAAGTAGTTTTGTACCTAGAAAAAGATGGTTTTACCTAACCTTCATTCTCACGATCACATCTGCACCTTCACGGCTATATCGTCTGTATGACCTGTGTCTCAGTCACTTTCCTCATGTCTGAGACACAGGACCGAACACCCACAGTTTAAGGGAGGACAGGTTTATTTCAGCTCACGGTTTCAATCCATGCTTGGAAGGTTTAAGCACAGAAAGGGCATGGCGGAAGGGCGTAGGTGGAAGCCAGCTGCTCACATCAGGGCGGCCAGGAAGCTGAGAGAAGGGAGGAGTCAGGAAGGGGGAAGACCCTCTAAGGCCACGCCCCTGATGACTCACCTCTTCTGACCAGGCCCCACCTCCCAACCGCAGGTCAGCTGTAGGGGTCTCGTGATCCAACCATCTTCTCCACTCCCTGCCTCCAAGAGCTGAGGCTCTGAGGGAGGACCCCAGACCCAAACCTTACCACAAGGTAAGGGTGTCAGCTGCCACCACTACCGCTGACACCAGTCTGGAAGCCCTGTCAGTGCACTTAGACAAGAGACAGGTAATTTTTAAATCAGAGGTAAAAATTAGTGAGGCGTTCTGGCCAGGACTGTTTGCAGATAATTTGATGAATTCCTTGAAATATAACAAAGTCTAGTTGTTAAAAATCACAAGGAAGTAAAAGCTGCAGCAGAATGGTAGGCACAAAGTAACCATCTATATATCACTCATAAATGCAGGCAACAACCTGTAAGTAGGTATAATTTACAGAAACATAAGAAAGGAGTAACATGCCTATGTAAAAATCTCCCAGCGGAAGTGAATGATTAAAAGAGGATTTCAGTAAATAAAAGGAAAACTCTAAGCTTGAAAATAAGGGGGCATCAGGGAAGAGATGGGGTCCTCTTGAAGACTCCTCGTGGCTGTTGCCTTTCCCAGGCACGTGACTGCCTCTTAACGCCGCACGGATGAAGGAAGAGGCCCAAATGTCACAGTGTGGAAGCACCTGTTCTCGCTCATGCTGTGGTGTAGGGTGGGGTCGGTGCTATCTTCTCCGGATCTCCTTGGAGCAAAGGACGTCGCTTTGGTTGCAGGGTATCTTGGTTACTTTTCCCTCCTTGCTGAGACAAAATACCCCATGCACAAAATTAAAGGAAAGGTTTATTTAGCTCACAGTTTGTGGAGGTTTCAGTCTGTACTCAGCTGGCCCCAGGGCAGGGTGACCTGGCACAAGGGCAACGGTTCAAGGCGGCAGAAGACAGTAAAAGCACAAGAGCAAAAGGGGGAAAGGATAAGCCTCTTTCCTCCCTTATATTATAAGCAGGCTGCCACCCACACCATCTCCATGCCTTCCTCTTGCACAGGCTCAGGGTGTTTACAGAGTGAGGACCCTGGCCCCCTGCGGAGTCGCTAGTTCACCTTCTAAACTTCTCAAGTTGGCACACTGTGTCAACCGTAACACAGGGTGACCCGCATTTTCTGCATCAGGCTTGGAATCTGGCCATGCAGAGGTCAGAAGAATGATTCCCACCCTCCCTCCCCACCAGGAAAATATCAAAAGTGAATTATGCCTCTGCAGCTGTGTTGCTCACAGACTCTCACAGAACGACGGTATCTTCAGAGCAATACTAATCCTGAGGCCCACCGCTAAAGTCAAGCAGATTGCAGAGAGAACAAGAGAAAGGTGGCAGTGAAAGAGCTTAATAATTATACACGTCTTTGGATGTGACTGAAGATATTTTGCCATTAGTGAGAAGTGTTAGTAAATAAAAAATGGGTGAATTAAACTTTTGCAATTTATCCATTGCTATTGGTGTTTTGGAGCTAGTTTGAAATATTGCAGTGTTTTTTGAAAGTGTTTTTCTAATTTCTTTTTTACTGTGCATTTCATCCTGGGGTTAGAAGCTATCCAGAGAGAGATGTCATGGACTGAGCAGGCCCACAATCTCCCAAACGAGTGGACAGTGAAGGCTTACGTGAAAGAGTCAAGTGGTATGATTTTCAGGCTCACAGAGATTCAAAACCCTCTAGCAGAATTTGAGATTCTCCGGGGGCTGAGACAGAGAACTTGTCCAAATGGCCCGTATTTACTTGATTTTCAAACAAAGGAAGGGGATACTGAGGAAAGCACGGGAATCTGAGCAGGACTTTGGGAGTCAGTTCAGATATTTTCGCAAGTAGTAAATTATGTCAATCAGAACTACCTTATCTCTAGGTTGACATTTACTGTAGGAGTGTGGAGCCTGGAGCTGCAGTCACCTTTTAGTTCATTGGGGTTGGAGCCAGGCGTCCTCAGCTGTGGCCTTGTCTTGTACTTTGAGGCATCACAGCCTCTCAGGCCACTACAGGCCTCAGCCAGGGCCAGTGATTCGTAGATGTTCACTTACTACGAATCTGCTACCCATCTCCAGACAAGGGGCCTGAGCCTTGGACAGACTCACAAGTAAACATGGTAAGCCGATTTGTTAATTTTAAATCCTGCTCAGAGATGCTTCATAGTGGTCTCCATCAGACAGACATTCTTTCTATTTGATTTTCAGTGCCTACGTAATGTTTTGAACTGTTTTCATAACAATATATGTTATGATTTATATCTAGATGTGCCCCCCAGAGCTGCATGTACTCACAGGTGGGACTTTCAGGAAGTGACTGGATCATGGTGGCGTGATATGCATCAGGGGACTGGTCCACTGATGAGTTTATAGCTAAATGTGACATTGGGAGGTGAAGCCTGTGGAGGAGGCAGTCACTGGGGGAGTGGCCTGCAAGGGTCCATCTCCCTCCCCTGCTCCTCCTATTCTCTCTGCTTCCTGTTTTCCATGCCTTAGGCACCTTCCACTGCCATGCCCCTGTGCCACACTGCCCTGCCTTGGAGCCAGCCACCCGTCTAAGGATGGGTGCAACAAAATAACCTTGCCTCCTTTAAATTGCTGGTGTCCGGTATTGTGTCTGAGTGACAAAGAAAATGACTAAGACTATACCTTCACTCCAGAACTTCTCAGATTAACATTGAGTACACACTGGATGTTTACTTGATCTTCTTTATAGAAGCAGAGGAATTTCCAACCTTTGTATATGCTTTACACTGTTAACTAGATGAGAGGTCACTGCAACATTCCATGCTGAACTTACCAGGCGCGGCTGCTGCAGCCACATCAAAAGGTACTTGTTACTCATCTATGAACAAAGCTAGCCACGTGAGAAGTAACATGTGAAGTTCTGTTTGGAAATCCCTACATCCAGGGGTGAAAACTCTGACAACCTGGTGGTCTTTCCTCAAGTTAGTAAGGTCCCTCTGGGCCATTCAGAACAGCAGAGGACGCATAGTAAACCCTGTCCACATCTCCTTTGTGACTGTCTTAGTTTTCCCATTAAGGAGACAAAATACTCAGCACCCACAAGTTAAAGGAGGAACGGTTTATTCTGGCTCACAGTGTGTAGAGGTTCCAGTCCATAGTCAGCTGGTTCCAAGGCAAGTGGCATGGCAGAGGAGAAACAGTCCACAGCAGGGAAGGCAGGAGGCAGCAGTCAGTGGACCTCCCTGTCCCTTTTATTCCACTCAGGGTATAAACCCACTGGCCACACCCAGGACCATGCTAAACCAATCAGTCAACTATTGCAGTACCACACACCCTTAATCCCAGTATCACACATGCATAACCAAGCAACCTCCCGAAAGCCCCACCTATGACTGCATGAGGCTTTGGGGGAACATCTAGATACAAGCCAGTGTGACAATGCATGCGTGGTGCCAAGGACTGATGAAGGGACAGGTTATGTGTGAAACATGGACAGAGACCTTGGCAAAGGTCATCCAGCCTGTACAGCCCCATGCCATGAACAGAGGGGACACCAGGTAAATATACTGCCTGCCTGCATCAAACACATATGAAGTCTAATTGCATTCCAGACAAAGTTATGAAACCCTAAAACATCTGTATTCACTAACAAGCACTGGTGTGTTAAAAGTAGGGGAAAATAGTTTTAAATCGACAAACACTTAAAATTGCAACAATCTCAACTCGTACATTTGCTCACTGACCTTTACACTATTACAGAACCTAGAACAGCAATCCTGCCTTCTCTGAAGCACATGGTGGTGGTGAATGTTTCATACTTCTCTCTTTAAAGAATTCATCCATAAAGTCCTAAGTTTAAAAGTAGTTTTAAGGGAATAGCAGTTGGTTACATTTGAACTACTGTCAAGGAAAAGCCAAACTTAAATTCATGCAAACACAATTAGACCTCTTCATCCAGAAAAGTCTTTAAGTTTTCTGCAATAGTCATCATCCTCAGGGACATAGATTCTATTTTTTTACTTTTTGTTTTTTGCTTTTTAGTTAACTACTCAGGGACATAGATTCTATTCTGTTTTTTAGTTTTCAATTCAAAGTGGTAGAAATTGGTGGATAGGTTGGAGTAATAAATATCTTTAAGGTTCCTTTGGAAAGTAGAAAAAAAAATTATTTGTGCCTGGAATATGATAAAGTGGTAGCAAGTACATGATGAAAGACTGACCATGATGATCCTTAAATATAACATCAAAGAAAAATAAGCTTAACTTTGATTTATCTTGGAAAAATCTATTAACTGGAACCTCAAGATGCACCCTGGAGGAGTTTGCTCCACGCACTCTCTGTTAAAGTTAATGCCTGATGGCCATTCACTGATGGCAACACATGTCACCCCCTCCATGTTTGGGACCTGTCCAGAACTGGCCAATGATGATCGCAAGAGGACCCAGGCATTCACCAAGGAGCTACTGCCCGAAATAAAATTGAATTTCCAGTTGCAAGATTTCCTATCTTCTATTTCCATCAGCAGCATAAGAGTGATTTTGGTTTATGACAACTTTTTATTTTGTACAAGATTTAAAAGAAAAAAATCACAAAAATAACTATACGGTTTAGGGCACACCAAATCTGAAGATGTAATCCAGAACAGCAGTGTAGGGGCAGATTAGAAGA